ATGGGAGAGTCTCAGTCGTTTGATATCCTACTGGTCCTTCTGCAGTGTAGACGGCTAGTGTTTGGCTCACACTAGGCCGGGCCTTGACATCTCAGCCCTCTCCAACTCGTCTAGTGAATTCTTCCGAGTATGGATGGATTCCCAAGCGGTGGAGATTTACAAGAATTACTCGCCACAGCATCCTCAGTAAGCCTTACCTTACTCTCGTTACTTCCTTCAGGGCAATGGAACGGCCAACTGTGGGCCATTTGTGGGCGTGCGCGCTTTGCTCTAGAGGTGTCTCAACTTGAAAACTCGTAATACTTTGGTACACACGTACCCTTTACGACTACACCCGTACTGCTCTAGACTTTCCTTTCGATAATTCAGACGTCTTTGATGTAATCAATTAGACCTGCCCGTACCCAAGCAGCTGAGGCCAAGCTGATGCACGTGAGGACTTGTGTTATGTACACGGGTCACTCTTCGACACTTATGCAAGTTGTCTGGGGTCAGTGTCAATAGCCGACCGGTGTTGGCACTGTCGACTCCAGTATGTGAACGTTAAGAAGAATATTAATAATATCGCAGTAGGACATACTAGCCGCGTTGAGATGACTCATAGGTCGCTAATGAAGGCCACTTCTAACCCACCTCGCCTCGAATACGTGATGGCTTCGTGTGTCACGTCACTTATGTGCATGCGTGACAAGCGTGACAAGATCGAGCCTTATACATCCCTTTCGTAGATGTATCAGTGAGCTTCTAGTTCTCCTACTCTCTGCCATTAAAATGACCACCAGCCCTTCTTCAACACCCCTTGAGATTGCTGAGGTGTCGCAAGAGTGGTCTCCCATCAAAAAGCGTATGTACAAGACTCAGGTCTGTAAGTATTTCATTCGTGGTCGCTGCCTTCACGGCCCTCTATGTGCCTTCGCCCATTCGGTTGACGAGCTGAATAGGAAGCCCAACCTCTCGATGACTAAGTTCTGTGCTAAACCGAAGTGTAGCGATCCACAGTGCCCTTTTGCTCACTCGTTGAAGGAGTTAAGGCTGGGTCTCGCCGCCACCACTAACGAGGACAATCCTTCTTCTGCTGATTTACAAGATTCCTTCTATTCAAACTATTTTGAACAACAACGTAGCATTTTATGTCGTAGCCGTGTAGGACGTTGCCGTGTTGTTGATGATGATGGTGATGGTAGTGGTAGTAGTAGTAATGGCAGACAAGGCCTATTGCCAGCCCCTTCTGCAGTGCCCCGTCCCAAATATCTCGCGAAGGGGAAGAAGCCGGTCATATCAAAGATTCAGAATCGCCCTTCTCCTCGGCTCCCGACTGCCACATCGAGTGTTCTGTGTCCTGCGTCAAGAGTAGACAATATCAACGAGATCAGGGATCTCGTGAACCATCTGAAATTGCTTTCTTATCTCGAAGAGCACACAGGTGAAGTGCCTACTACCACTTGGGTTTAGACTCCAGTTAAAGGTCTATGTATTCACTACTTGTCAGTCAGCTATACGTTATGAAAAGCCGGTTGTAGATTCCTGGTAAACCATGGACTGAGTCTTCTTCCAGTGGTACTTTTCGTCAAGGTAGACTTTGAAAGGATGCGAGGATGACAGAACTTGAACATTGATATTTTTTTACAGCAATCTGTTCTTTGATCTCTCGCAATTTTATCGCTCATATAGCGTATTTCTACTGCTTCGATTCAGTGTAAAATTGCCTTGGTCAACGTTGCAATGATCAGCGCGACTGAGTGCATACTTCATACTGTTATTGCCAGTATCTTTTTCTGTTTCCTTCTCCGTGCCTTGGCTCACAGGGAAGACTAACATCATCAGAAAGTGAGTTGTGTTGTACTAAGGCGAACAAAAAAGGGTCATGCAAAGTTAAGCGGCTTGACGTGTATATTTATGTCGAGTCCTGAAGTCACGAAAGGGTTGGCTACTGTCGAAAGAATGTTGTTTGACAGCTGCGGCTACTTGGTATTGAAAAAAGTCTTTACCAAGGAAGAAATTTCAGAGCTCGACAGCCTTTTCGATAGGTATAAGCGACATTCACAACTTGGTTAAAGGGGGCTTTCCACAGATATTCAAACGAGTTTGTGGCAAGAAACGAGGGTGTTGCTACAGCCCGTAGCGACTTCTTCAAGGGAAACTCGGGACGATCGGATTACGGTAAAGTATTGCAGGTAGATGCTCAGCTGCTCAGCTGGGCTACCGTATGTGTATCATTGCAGAGATGGACGCAAGAATCTTCGGTGTGCGCGAGTATCTTTGAGCATCCTCGATTGAACCCCGTGATAGAGGAGATCTGTGGAAAAGCAATAATAAGTGCAAACGAGTGTATGACATTGTCATTATACTCAGGGTTTCCGACTTGACCACTTTCCGCTGGCTTTTGAGCAGAATCCGGGTGGTGAGGGATTCGACCTTCACGGAGGTCGACTACTCCCATCTGGCGATATCAACTTCCCAGTAGCATATACGTGAGTCGGTCAGTGGCTTGAGTTTCTTTCGTATCGAATTCCTCGCTGGAAATAGCAGTGAGCGAGCAGTTATGATGCACACTGAAACTATAAGGACGGCCCTTATATTTTGAGGGGATCGTCTGTAAACAATTG